AAATTTGATTGACAGATGACCATTGATATATGATTGGCCGAATTTAGGTGTTCAGGCTGACATTTAACTATATGGACTGCATAAGATAATGAAAAAACAAAACCAAAAAAAAAACACAAACAAAAGGATTTATTTTTTTTTAATATAAAATATTTCTACATTTTGGAGCAATAGCATCTCATAAAGAGTACATTTATATACAAGTTTAAGCCAGATTAATTTGACATTTATATATGATTTTCCTACAACTTTAATGTATCTGCCTAATGTGTGGCTCCCCGGCACTCTGACCCACAGACATGTCTACATACGCCTCAACATGTCCAGACATGTCCAGTCTGTTACTTTAAGCCTTCTTCCCCCAGTAACAGCTCCCACACAGAAGAGTGTTGTTGTCTGGGTAACCTGCTAGTGGTTTCCATAATGCAATCATTGATCAGAAAACGACTGCCATTCCCCCCCCCAATTCTAGCCATCAGCTATTTTTATGCATGTTTATATTTAATTAGTTAATTCAAATTGCTGGTATGATTCAAAAACCATGAATTCTAATAATTGGTGGACAAAAACGAAACTTTTTTTGCTAGGAGTGGTTTCCCTTCTTCCTAATAATTCTTCTCACAATCCATTTTGTTTTAAATTACATTTTTTTTTTTTTTTGTGGCCGACAGGTGATGAAAAGTTGTTATATTTGTTTAATGGTGATAATTAGAGATGATCAAGTATTCCAATTTAAGCTCATTAATGAATGATGTACAATTCCTCCTGATCAAGTAGTATATATACACAAGGGGCACTTCCAGATGTTTGATTGACCTGAAATTTTGCATGTGAAATTATTTCAATCTGTATAGATTAAACAGCAAATTACAGCTCATAGCTATTTATGGTTTCTGACTTACAGGTGTTTGAACTGAGTAAAGTCTGAAATGGAACCTGTCGAGTATTTGAAAGGACTCACACCATGGAAGACTTTTGATTAAATTAAAGTAACTTATGGTGATGATGCCCATTATATGACCTTGCAAAATGTTTTAGAAGTTTATATTATGGGACATTATCACTACAAGTTACTTTCATTTGATCAAAAGTCTCCCGTTCTGTGCGTCCTTACAAAAAATGCAAAAAACACAGACTTGACTCAGTTTTAACACCTGTAAATCAGAAACCACAATTAGTTTAGAGCTATAAATGTTATTTAATCTATAGAGATTTAAATAATTTGACATGCCAAATTTCAGGTCGATCAAAGATCTGGAAGTGGGTCGGGGGCATAACTTATTGAACAACAACTGTTCCAGTATAGAATATGGTATTCCGTGGTATAATTATACAGTATTTACTTGGCCTCGAGAGAGGCCAAGTAAATATGGCGCAAGAACAATCACTCTTCAATTAGACTTTCTTATTTATGATTGGCCTCTTTAAAACCAAACATAACAATAGCAGATTAATAACCTTAAGAATATAAGTTAGTTAGTGGGGGTGAACATGTAGAAAATAGACTAGGCTGGACACTAACGGCTGAAACCCGATTAGTGGCGAACGTTGAACCAGAACCAGAACATTCCATCACAGGCAGATGAGGACAGCCACACAGGAAGCATCTACACCGGAGACGAAGCTCTCCAGAAACAACAGAAATCGAAACTAGTAGCTAAATTTGGGAGAACAGCAGCTCATGTTTAACACGACCCTGATCAGAGCATATAAACAGCTATATCTCAGAATAGACAGGTGATTCTAGTTGAGACAGCTGCTTATCAATGTACACAATTCCAAATACCGAGAATAACACTGGCTATGAAACTAAAAGCCTGAGTGGTTCTATTTATTATTCAATAATGCGACATTTTTATTGAACCTTTCTTCTAGTTATCTAGCCTTAGCAGCACAGGAGCCACAGATGTGACAGAATTGCCTCTACTGCTAGCCGATAGCGGTTAGCTGCCGTTAAAAGACAAAACAATTGTTTTAAACTCGTGCGTCCCTTAGTTTCATAATATAAATTGAAATATAGTTAAAAGCGGTCAAATGTGATAAACATGCGAGAACATTCCGTGCTTTAAGAAAGGGGGAAGAAAGAGTTAGCATAGCCGGTTAGCATTAGCGTCTGAGATGCTGAGAAGCAGAAGGTATGTTAGCAGGGAAGCTAATCAGGTTCCTTACCAGGTCAAAACAGACAGCACCGCCGCACAAGATGCATCAATTTCTGCGTTGCTTTATGGGGCTGACGTCCGAACAGACGGCGACTTCGACGGATTCAAAGCAGACGACGAAGAAAGATCGTCGAGAACATTGCAGAGATATTCGAAATTAATATGTTTCCTGCTTTTTCTTCTTTCTTTTTTTTTCTGCTCAGACTAGCTCGGATGCCCGTTTGCGATTGCGAGTGGTTGCTTAGAGAGACTGGCTCACACACCCTCCAGGAACGAACCTGCCAAATACTGACCCCGCCTCTCAGAGCGAGCACAGCAGGAAGCGGCTGCCAAAAAATGACCCCGCCTCCGTAGACAGCCACAGATGGAGATCATGTTTAATATCTTCACTCATTTAGAATTATTTTGTTACTGTTCAAGCCATATGATGGGGAAACTTCTGTGAAAACGGGTAGAGAAACAGCCGCCAGAGTCTTTTCTAATAATCCCACATTTCAAACATTTCAAAATAACAGCGTTTAGACTGGTTGAAAACCGAGGACCAAAAAATTGGCCCTCTAATTATAGCATAAATTAAATAAAATATAAATACAATAGCCCTGAAATTGAAATTCCCGCTCTCATAGCTACAATGCATATAAAACAACATCAAAAATCTTCATTAACACATCTGACTATCTTACATAATCCAGCAATTGCACAGATACTACATTTGTTTGAGCTTTATATATATATATATATATATATATATATATATATATATATATATATATATATATATAGCTTATCAGCAAGGTAATTTGCATTTTGAACCATGTGAGGTTTTACATCCATAAAGTTTAATCAGATAGGCCTACAAAAAAAATAAATAAATAAATAAAAAATACATCAGCTATTTTCTCATATTAGAATTATTTGTTCTTGCTTATGAACTTTCTCAATACAAGTACTATCAGGCCCCAAAATTATATTCCACTTTTGGCCTACCATGTTGACTAAATAGATAGATAGATAGATAAATAAATAAATAGATGATAGATAGATAGATCTAGATTTAATATACAGTGTTATTTTTTAACAACTTATATTTTTTCCTGTAAGATATAACTCCAGTCTTGTTGACGCATTCATATTCCAGATATACACTTAATAGTGCTGTTTTTGTTATATCTCTAACTGACTGTTCTCACCAGTTATTCGAGTGCCTACAGTCGCCAATATGATACTAATTCAATAAAAATAAGATTATGAAAGTTACTAAAAAGAAGTGCTATAGGGTAAGTACCGTTGTAAAGCATGTAAGCAAACTACAAAGAAAGAATGAAAGAAGCTATCCAAAAAAAAAAAATGTTTTTATGTATATATATGCACTTTTTATACAGAGTTTTGCGGTTGCTGTAACTGGATAATGATACTCAACCGGTGATTATTGACGTTTAGATAAAAACAAAATAATAAAAAATGTGTAATTAGCGCCACCTGGTGGAACTACTGTGGCATAGTACTGAAATTGTAGTTATATGAAAATTTTGTTCTTACTTTAATTTTATTAAAAATCAATCAACTATTGACTCTATCTATCTATAGCATAACAGTTCATTCCATGATTTCTGTTAAAAAGATTTAAACTATAAAAATCAACAGTAGACACGTGTGAAATCTCTTTAATGGCAATAAACATGATATGGTTACACAAATGACTTGTTTTCAGTAAAGTTATAAGAGGAAAATCAAATTATGATAAAAATAACTATTTACAAGTATTTATATATTGTTTTGCATCAGGGCAGTTGTTATGACTAAGAAAATAAAGCGGTACTCTTTCCTGTCAGATGTGATTTAACAAAAAATAAAAAACAAAGCATAAAACAGATAAGATATTTTTTTACTTAACTTAGAAAAAAAAGAAAAGAAAACACACACTGTTGCACCCTTATCCCAACTATTGCAAAAATGCTGCCTTGTTTCCCTTTCCAGAACAAATAAATTTTTTCACTCTGTCTCAAACTTCACCGTGTTTAAACAAGACTGGCCAACACTAACTCATGCATAACAGAAGTGGAAGGAAAATTATATCTTCTTCAAACAAAAATGCGTCAAGCATAAAATAGTGTATGGCTACCTGCAGACCTACCAAAGACATGGATGTTTAAAAGAGCATTAATTATTTCAGAGGAAGCTTATCGGGGGTTGAAAAGAAATTCATACCATACTTTTCAGACATATTTGAAAAATAAATATCGAAAACTTTATCATTTTCATTCTACTTCTTAACAATGCACCACTTTGTGTTGATCTATCATTTTAAACCCCAAATAAAATTCACCTGAAGGTATAGTGGATTATGTTCTTTTTCTGGGTGGATCATCAAGGAAGTTTTCCTCCTAAATGTCAATCATTCTGGTGATATGTTTACGTAACCTACCTACGTGCTCGTCCCCATTTTAACTTACCGGTGGTGAGTCTGACAGAGTGGAAAAATTGCAATTATTTTGGAAAGTAAGCTTGTATGAGCGATGCGAACAGCAACTTAGAGTGTGCGCAAGGAGAAATGGGCTTGTGCATGCTCTCGCACATGTTTAATGGGCGTTCCCTCTATGGAGCAGGTACAAGGTTGTGCATGTGTATTTTTTTTTTTTTTATAAAGTGAAGAGGTCTTTTCAAAAATTAGCTAAAATCCTCCACTATACCTTTAAGTCAGGCTTTAAATTCATACAATGAAAAAAAAAGGGTTCAAGGTGGGTGAATATTATTGCCAGGCATTGTACTCTGTAGAGCAGCAACCTTTTAACCCTTAAAATGCTCCCAAATTCAGAATTACGTTTTATGATAGATGTTAGATCTTTTCTTAAATTTATTTTACTTCTTTCAACAATATAAAATAATAAACAAGAGGAGGATGCAGATTGAAAAAAGTGCACATCTTTTGTTAAAGTAATAGAACCAACACAACTAATGAACTGACAAAAATTTTAACCAAGTAGTAATCAGAACTTTTTGTATGAAATAATGCACCATTAGAGAAATGTGTAACTAAAATCAAATTGAAAGAACAAAGATTGCTTTCTTTCTACATTTTAGAACGAATATTTCACACCTACAAACATGCCCCTACGTATGTAGAATTGCACTAATATTATTTGTTTTTATCTTGTGCTGATTCTATCTTTGACCCTGACATTAAAGCAGAGAATATTTTCCAAACAAGTTGCCGGAAATATTTCTGCTTGTCTAATGCACACAAACACACACCTCCATAATGTCAGTATCAAATGTAACTACTCTGTTCTAAAAAAAAACTGAATTATAAGGTGTATTTTACTATAGTGTTTCATCTTCCTTTTTTTAAAAACAGGATGCTTAAAAGACACATCATGTCATGGAGGTTGGCAGTGGAGAAACATACCTCGCCAGTCTACATGTACAGTTCTGTGCTTTCACAAAAGGTCTGTGTTTCTTCAGAATCTGTGAGTCTTGCGTGGGTAGAATCCTAAGAGGTAAAGAAATTGAGATGTTTCCCTAAATAACACCTGGCAGATACACACACTGCTGTGCAGGCTGGAAATGGAAGTAAAGTAACTAGCTTGGCGAGGACTAAAACAGGCCCATCAGACTATATACAGACTACAGATACATTTTAATGTTCTCAGCAAGTCTCAGGAAGAAGAACAGCTTCACTGTAGATCATTTCTTCACAGGACAGTTGGTGGTGTCATTTTCTGGTTTTCCTCTAATTTGATCCTTGTGTTCTGGAAAGCCAAGGATTTAGGCCTCATAAACCCTGTGAAGAAAAGTGAGGAGGGTTAATATGGTCCGGTCAACTTTGACTTCTGGTAGCTCTACATGGTACTTCTTGCAGTTTCAGTTTGTACAGAAAAGTCTTTAAAAAGTAAGGTTCATCTCTAGCTACAGCTTGAACATCCACACATAAACTATAGAGGACCATAGAATTAGGAACACACAGTAGAAGGTCCAGCAAAGGCCCTTCCTCAGATAATTCATTTTCAATATCTCAAATAATTTCTGGACCAAGGAGGACATGTGAGTCATTTAATTTCATGATGGCATGTTTCTTGGAGACTGGTTTGATGATAAAGTATTTGAAAGAAGAAGGGGACCTTTTATAGCTCTTTGGGGAGCTCTTGTGTCAACGTGATTTATTAACTGATGCATTCTAAACCATCAAATAAGAGATATTAAGGTTGTCTTAGGATTTTTGTCAATTATGGAGGATGACATTTCTCACAGGTCAAAAAATTCCGCTGGGAAAAGTTGTCCAGTGTGTTGCTACCAGGGCGAAAACAGCATTGTTTCTCCTGGATCCGAGGTTCAACTATTGGCTGGATCCTCCTCTCCAGTACCCTGGAGTAGACCTTACTGGGATGGCTGAGGAGTGTGATCCCTGCTTAATTGGAGCACATCCTGCAATCCCCCTTTTTGAAGAGAGGGACCACCACCCTGGTGTGCGAATCCAGGGGTACAGTCCCAGACTGCCACACGACGCTGTAGAGACTTGTCAGCCAAGAAAGTCCTACAACATCCAGAGACTTAAGTTACTCAGGACGAATCTCATCCATCCCCAGGACCTTGACACCGGGAAGCTTTCTAACTACCTCAGTGACCTCAGCCTGGCTGATGGGCAAGGCCGCCTCTGAGTCTCCAGCCTCTTCCTCCTCCTCAGAAGACGTGACGATGGGATTGAGGAGATCTTCGAAGTACTCCTTCCACCGCCCGACAACATCCCTATTCGAGGTCAGCAGCTCCCCACCCGCATTGTAAACAGTGTTATTGAAGCACTGCTTCCCCTCCCAAGGCGGCGGACAGTTTGCCAGAACACCTTCGAGGCTGACCAATAGTCCTCCTACATGGCCTCTCTGAACTCCTCCCAGACCAGAGTATTTGCCTCTGTGACTGCATGGCTGCAGCATGCTTGGCCAGCAGGTACCTTTCAGCTGACTCTGGAGTCCCACTAGCTAACAAGGACCGGTAGGCCTCCTTCTTCCCTTACTTACCTAAATGGCATCTCTTAATTACGGGCACCACCAACAGATTCGGGGATTGCCACAACAAGTCACAGGAGACCTTACAGCCACAGGTGCGAACGGTCGCATTGACAATGGGGGAAGAGAACATGGACCACTACGACTCCAAGTCTTGAATCTCCCTCAGGATCTGGGAGAAACTCATCCGGAGGTGGGAGTTAAAGACCCCACTAACAGAGGGATCCACCAGACGTTCCCAATAGACCCTCACAACACTCTTAGGCCTGCCAGGGCTGACCAGTTTCCTCCTGTGCCAGCGACTCCAGCTCACTGCTAGGTTGTGATCGGTTGAGCAGCCAAGTGTGAAGCGGCCAGGATGAGGATCAACACCTCCAAGTCCGAGGCCATGGTTTTCCACTGGTGAAAGCTTCAGGTCGGTGGAGAGTCCTTTTCTCAAGTGGAGGAGTACAAGTATCTCGGCATCCTGTTCACAAGTGAGGGACGGATGGATCGTGAGAACGATAGATGGATCGGTGCAGTGTCTGCAGTGATGCTCTTGCTGTATCGGACAGTCGTGGTGTAGAGGGAGCTGAGTCAGGGGGCAAAGCTTATGATTTACCGATCAATCTACATTCCACCCTTATCTATGGTCATGAGATCTGGGTAATGGTAAAAGGACAAAATCACAAATACAAGTGGCCAAAATGTGTTTCTTTCGCAGGGTGGCTGGTTGCACCCATCGAGATTGGGTGAGGAGCACAGTTACCCGGGAGGAGCTTGGAGCAGAGTCGTTGCTCCTACACGTTGAAAGGAGCCAGTTGGCTCGGGCATCTGTTCCCCATGCCTCCTGATCGTTTCCCTCGGGAAGTTTTCCAGGCATGTCCTATTGTGAGGAGGCTTCATGGAAGGCCCAGGACATGCTGGAGGGATTATGTCTTTGAGCTGGCCTGCTGTCGCCTCGGGGCCCCCCAGGGCAGCTGGAGGAGGTGTGTGTAGATCTGAAAGTCTGGGCATCTCTGCTTGGACTGTTACCTCCGCAACCCGGCCCCGGATAAAGCGGAAGAAAATGGAAAAGCTGTAAAATCAGGAAGTGGAGGATCCTCTCCAAAATCCAGTGGAGGTTGAACCTCGAACCCAGTCTCTAACAGGTTTTCTTTCAGGATTATCATGAATTTATCTCTGGTCACTTCCTCAATAACACTAATAAGCTTCCATGTTCCTTCTAAAGAAATGCATTCCCTCAGAATGGTGAGCCACCATCATGCTTTACTGTGGTGTTACCAGAAAGTCATTTAGGTCTTTTCAAACACAGCATTTTGTAGATTGATTAGAGCTTTTGAAGATGATTCAAGATTGGGATAGTGTTGTAGAACCTAACCCTGCTTTAAACTAAATCAAAAATTCCTCACTGACCCTTCTGTTGGGTTCCTTTGCCTTCATAATGCTGGTTGTTCTTAAATGTTCTCAACAGAACATCTAATAAAAAAATAGCTGTATTTTTACCTAAAAACACACAACTAAACTCACCACAAAGAAGGCAACTTCTAGAGGAAATTAGCTGCTCATGTCTATTTAAGGGCATCAAAAATGAAGGAAATTCATTACAAATGGAGGCAAACTTTTTTAATAGTAATGTTTAAAACCAGGAATCCTTTTTTTCTATACTAGTTATTAGCTATTCTGTTTTGGTCTGTCCAAAAACACTCCAACAACAAACACAAGTTTTTTTGCAATGCTGAGAAACAACAACAATAAAAAAAACATGAATATGTTTCAAAGGCATTTCTCATTCTTTTTCTTTGACAAAAAAATGTAAGTTATGATTACTCATACTTACTTTAAATTATATCTAATTTCTTTAATAATGATGTGAAACAGACAGAGCAGAACATTTGATGGATTTTCCATAATAAAAATCTATACTCAAGGATAATCAATAAAATTTTGTATATTTATTTTCAGCAAAGGCTATTATATTGAGTTCACTTTTGCCTAAAGTTGATGCGTTTCTACCTGTGCTTGTCCTTCCAGATGCGGAACCATTTAACCAGGTTCTTGGTGCTCTGGAGGTTCGGGTGAAGACAATACTCCTGGCCCTTAAACCGAGACACGTTCTCCATCGTTACACTAGAGAGAAGAAATATAGAATGCAGGTCAGGATGCCATTTTATCAACATTCAGTCAAAGTAAAAAAAAAGATAAAAAAAAAGAAGAAGTCTGAATCAACTTTTAAAAATGCTAAATTAAAAAAAACTCCATAAAAGCTGCTAGATCACAAAGCAGCTGGTGAAAAAACAACAACTATGGAGCCAGGAAAGAAGGAGCTCTCTGAAAGACCAAGTGATGACCAAGATCACACACAAGAGCAGGTACTTCTGAGGATCTGAAAACACACATTTAAACCACATGAAAGCCATTGAAGCCCTTTGAATGGAGACCGGTACTGCTGTAGCACACTTGACATGTTATTGCCCCAGATTTTAGACACCATTCTTTGCTGCCATGGATAGCATTCCCACCGTTAAATGCCCTCTCAGTTCCAGAAGGTCTGCCTGCACAGCTTTGCTGTCTTCCTTGCAAGAAGGCAATATTATGGTGCTGCCACTTAAAAATGTGACATCTAACCTGAATGAATGAAATGGTGAGTCTCTAAGGGTCTACTCGAAGTGATGACAGAGACAGTCTGCCTGCATGTGGCATATTGAATCCAGCTGAATGTGGTGGAAAACAGAATGCAGGGCCTCTCCATCCACTGACGGTGCGATCCTCAGTAGACCATGAATGCTAAATGACTGCAGGATAAAGGGTCTGACTCTTAAAGTCAGTCACCATAAGAATCCGATTAAAGAGGGCTGCATCTATTTTCCTGCTCATTCAGTTGTCACTTTGTTTGGCTATTAAGGCTTCAGTAGGAAAGCTGTTTGTGCTTTGTTGTTGCCTCTTTAAAATGTGGGGGGATGTTTGTGCACGCATGCATGCCAGCGGACTCATATCTGCAAAGCTGCTCAACAGGGGGGAACATTTAACCTCATTGCTCTGTTAATTTGAGCTAAGATAAAATGAAAGAGAAGAGGATAAAATTTAAAGGATTCAAAGGGAGGAGATGGTTGGAAAATAAGTAAATGGAAAAAAACAAGGAGGAACAGGGACATTCAGAGCAGAGTGTGTTTGTGCTTTGGAGTCTGCGCCCAGCATGCCAAACTAAGAGCCATGAGCCAAGCACCCAGAGAGAGGACCCTCATACTCATTTCTTTCCCACTTTTATTCTTTCCATGGCTTTCCGGAGCCTGCTGCAGCTCATTTTTCACTGGGCTCTCACAACTGGTGGCCCCCATCTCATGCTAATAGAGGAGCCATGAATGATGCCTGTGTGGCAGGCAGGTAACCCATACAGAAATAATAATGGGAGCTGAAGAATGCCAGTGTGCTTTTCTTTATTCTTTCATTGTAATCACTGTTGATTAATTTCCCGTTATGTGTGAGTTTATCACCAGTTCCAAACTCATTACCGCTCTCCAGAGAAGTAATATGAGTTTAATCTTCTTGTGATGTTATTTTGCTTGGAATAAATTGTGTTTTGTTTTTCATTAGGGAATAGTTTTTCACAAAAATATTATTGTTATTTCATATTAGCTTTAATATCTATCTGTTTATCAATAGAGCTGCTTGGTGGTGCACATTGCAGCACTATTGCTTGCAGGAAGAAGTAAAGGCTGTTTGCATGTTCTACCCATTGTTGTGTGGTTTCTCTCTGGGTACTCTGGCTTCCCCCATTAAGAAACATGACTGTCAGGTGCCTGGTCTCTCTTACATGCCCTTGGTCTAAATGTGTGCCGGTGGTTGTATGCCTTTTGATGGACTGGAGAGCTGCCCAGGGTAGACCCCACCTCTCGTCCAATCACTTCTAGAGATAGGTACCAGCCCCTTGGAAGCCCTTCATGGATAAGTGGGTAAATGTAATAGATGGATGTCTATTAATATTAATGTGCCTGCTGCCTCTTTTCAAGTGTACAACCATCAATCCTGACCCCACTCTCAACTAAACTAGGATAATATATTGAGTTCAAAATATAGAAGAGTTAAAATAATTTAAATCATTTTTGCACAGTCCAGTGATCTAATGCTTGAAATCGCCTTTTATTTAGTTAGGTGTTTAAAGCTGCAAACTCATTTTTCGGGACACCTTGGTCCTTAAAATGAAAAAAAAAAAAGCCTCATCCGACTAACTGTGGCAAAATTTTTAGATTAGATGTTTTTTTTTGTTTTTTTTTCAAAAGCTGATGTATTAATTTTATGTTCTTTATTTGGTTATTGTTAGTGTGCCCCTGGACAAGTTCTCAATCTGGGCTGAAATCAGTAAATGTGGTAATAGAATTGAATCTTCTGTATTCAGTCAAAAACTGCACATTTAAGGGAAAACAACAGAGGGACAGTTGCTGCTTCCCCAATCTATTTAAAACAAATTCAACTGAATCATATTTATCTCTGTTTGTTACTTCTTCAAGTCTCTGTGAACCCTGCTTCTCCCCCAACCTAGACTCCTATTCCTTTTCTTAGCTGTTCCAAGGATTCTTGTCCATAAAGGTTATGAACACAACTGGTGACAGAGGACAACCCTAATGGAGTCCAACACGGACAGGCGGTTTTCGCCCCTTCTTTTTCCAGAGGATCCCTTCTGCCAAGACCTACAGCAAGCACTGGTGAGTTTGCAGCCGATGAAAATGAGCTCTTCCAAGTCTGAGGCCATGGTTCTTGAGCGGAAAAGGGTGTCTTTTCCCCTTCAGGTTTAAGGAGAGCTCATTCCTCAAGCGGTTTAAGTATCTTGGGGTCCCGTTAATGAGTGAGGGGAGAATGGAGTGGGAGATCGATAGACAGCTGCTACTCTAATGCCAATACTGCACCGGTTTGTTGTGATGAGGAGAGGGTTGAGCAAAATGGCAAAGGTCTTGATTTGCTGGTCGGTCTACGTTCCTTACCCCAACTAATCCACACAGTCTATAGCCTTCTGAACATCATTATGCGCCGGAAACGCACATGGTTCATAGGGACTCATACTCATCATACTTGTCGTCTCCTTCATCTTGGACCGGGTCGCGGGGCCATCGGTCTTGGCAGACTCCCAGACTTCCCTCTCTGCAGACACCTCCTCCAGCACTAGTGGGGGCAGCCTGATGCTCCCCCAGGTCAACAGAGAGACGTAGTCCCTCCATCGTGTCCTGGATTGTCCCCTGAGCCTGGGACATGCCTGGAAAAACTCTGAAAACTCCCATCCAAAAAGGATGGCTGAGCCACCTCCTCTTGATGACTCCTCTTGATGTGGAGGAAAAGCGGTTCTACTCTGAGGCTCTCCCAAATGACTGAGCTCCTAACCCTATCTCTAAGAGACAGCCCAGACACCTGTGAAGCCCTTGTATCTGGGATATCTTCCTTCGGTTATGATCAAGATTTCAAGACCATACTAGGTAGAGCCATCTGGAGTTCTTTTCCTACTGATAATAGTGTCCTTACTGTTGACCCCATAAATGGTTAAAGAACAGGAGCTAGGGGCTGCAATTTGCTACATTCAGATTGAGAGACTGTTTTGAATGCAAACGGTGACTATCATGATGAGGGAGGTAAACAACATCACTATAGCTAACAATTAAAGACCTGAAGAAAAGTGATTCCATAGCAACAATATGCTGTCTAAATCAGACAGAAACATCCCCTGTCCTACCAGCAGAAACATAACTGATTTGACTATCTGGATCTTTTGTTGGAACGGACGCGACTGAGCATTTTAACAACAAATGCTATAGGTCAGGCATCCCCAAACTCGGTCCTCAAGGCCCCCTGTCCTGCAGGTTTTAGAGGTTTCTCTGCTTCAGCACAGCTGGTTATAATGATTGCAGTAGACCAAAAGCCAGTTAATCAGCTTTCAATTAAAATCAGCTGTGCTGGAGCAAGGAAACCTCTAAAACCTGCAGGACAGGGGGCCTTGAGGGCAGAGTTTGGGGATGCCTGCTATAGGTGATTCTGCTGTGGAACTAAGGCTGTGCAGCATACAGTATCTGCCAGTTAGACGGGATATCCGTCAGCACAGATGATGAGAAGGATAAAGAATATTTACTTATATCTGCTATCTGTGGAAAAGAACCTTGTGCCCTCTGTGAGTACAGGTTACAGCTTCTCGTCCAAACTCCCTAAAAATCCTGTTACAACCACTTCAGCACAAACTCTTTGAAACAATCGGGATGTCTTAAAAGTTGAAAAAAAAAAATTAAGATAAATCATCACTGGTTATTTTCACTGGTGAAAAAAAAGAAACTGTCCTAACACCTTGATCCCAGACCTAAATCCTGTAGAACAGCTTTGGGCTGTGAATCAGAATCAGGAATCAACCATGATCAAAGAGACACTGAGCAGAGATCTTTCTCTTTTTATTCTAAACCTGGTAGGATTGTTAATAATGGTGCCGCCCAACAGATACATTTTATTTTTTAACATATATACAAAGTGTGTACTTATACAGAGGCTAGCACACAAAACATTGGTTTGGTGGTCTAACACTTACCTAAATGCCATTGTTTTTTTAATTTGTTATATCAGACTTAATTTCCTACAATAGTAAACAACTTTAGCACCCATCTAGAAGCCCCTTATAAAACTTTCTTTAGGTGTCCCTGAAAGGTGGGTATTTAACCCATGTTGAACCCAGCAGGCTGCTCCCTGCTGTTGGTATGACTGAAATGTGGCAGCAGGTGGCAGCAGAGTTTGTGAATTCAACAGGAATCCCTGAATCCCTGGAGGCTGACATAACAATTCAATCTGCTGGGCCGCCAACTTCACAGAGAGCTAAAACGTCACATTTCAAGCTCATGTGACACCTTTCCACCATTTGAACGTCCAGAAATAGGGAACATGCTGTAACACGCTATAACACCCTAGTGAATGTGTGTAAGTTATTGTGGATCAGAGAGACTCTGTTATCATCAGGGAGGTTTAGGCTGCATTCCACCTTGGCTCAAATTGAACATAATACCTGCCTGTTTGCTTCAGCTGTGATTTCATGGGTGGAGGGTCAGATAGCAGAGAGGCAGTGGGTGGATGGATCAAATACACAGTCAGGAATTCAAGATAAGACCTCAAAGAGACGGATGGCTTCACATTCTCAGAAATGGGGGTTGAAAATTCCTGTTTTTTTTCTTTGTGTCAGATGTCTAAAAATTGTTGAAATGAGAAAATGTTGGTTTTGTAATCCCTAATTTTAGCAGCTGAATCAAGGCAATGTTTTTTCATAAATTAATATTCTGGAAATGTTCGAAATCTGTGCTTTTATTCTTCTATGTGACCTTTCTGTCTGAACAGGCTCCACCTCTTGGAAGTAGGGCTGGTTAACTCCTTTGATGGTCATGTTTTAGTCTAATCTTAAAACTAATTTCACTTATTTAGCATCACTTTCATGATTAGTGATGGCCTAAAAAAAGATAAACCCAAAGCCATAGCACCTATGAAACCAACAAATGTATGACTTAAGAGTAAATTTGCTGCTCCGCTACGGAAAGTGTGACATGGATTCACCCAGACAGAAAAGTTATGGAGAAAAACTAGAAGCCGATAAGTAGGCATTGAGCCTGACTATTAAAAAAACGAAACATAGAAAACAAAAACAGAAAAGCAGAAACATTGTGAGAATAAACAAAAAGAACTCACAATATCATCTTCTCTTGGCAGAAGGGATGTTTGGGTTTGATCTCCAGCTTCTGCACATCCTTATATCTGATCTTTGGTCCTTTTCTGGTGCATCTGCACTTATAGGCTGTAGAAAAATGTATGGAAAATGTTAGGATTTAAATAGTTCTGTTCACTTTTGTGAAAAAGATGTTGAACTGACAGGGAAGTCTATGCTTGGAAATCCTGAGTGCGAATATCTTCCTGCTTATCTCTTTGCCATATATTCCTCTAGCTTGAATTCCGATTAAAACATCTGGCAATGATCTAAAAAGTTAATTTATTATAAATTACTATTTTAAGGGAGGGTTGTTCTTAACCCACCAAAATCTAAGCATTATTTTCAGTTGTTTATTTGAGGCCATACAGATTTTTTTCTTCAAACATCAGTTCCCTTTTCCTTAGCACATTACATCCTGTATTTCTAGAAATAATTTAGCGTTAAAGACACCCTGATGCACACTGATCCAGATAACACTCCGCTTCTTATTGTTACATTTTCAAGTAAATACACATTCATCTTCACCCCCAGCTCCAACTGTCTACTGGCCATGACTTTGGCTGTCGGCGAATAAAGAAGCAGAAGCAAATTGGTTTTGCCGGTTGTATATCTGGGATGACCCGAATGGTCCAAGGTTTCCCTTCATCCATCACCTGCTATCAGCGCTGACCTCTGGGCCACTAAATCTGTCAGAAAGCTCACACTGCAGCCAGCGCCAGGCACACTCACACAGGACAATAAATATCAGCAAACACACATCAGTTAATATTGACTGGAGAGAATCAGCTCCCACTGACAAACAGGCACAAATGGATGTTTACATCACTCTAACAGAACAAAACGGCTGTTTGCTTTACTTTCCAAGCCACTAAAAATATGCTAGTCAGAGATTATGAAGCCAAACATGAATAAAGAAAGAGGTTTTCAAATCTTAGTTTACCAGATATTTTACATTAAATGCTTTAAATGTAAACATAGTAGCATGTTTAAGTATTGTTCTCTTCGGATTGGTTTGAACATATTCTTATGATCTAAGCAGTTTTGAAAACAGATGTATTCCTATAGACACAAATATTATTTTATACATTGTTGGATATGTAGAAAGAAAGAAAGGAAGAAAGAAAGGAAGCAAGAAAAAAACAGGAAAAAACAGAATAAAGATAGAAAATTCAAAAGAAAGAAAGAAAGAAAGAAAGAAAGAAAGAAAGAAAGAAAACTGGAACAGGTGTTGCCATTCTAAACATAAAGTATTACTGACTAGTTTGTTCTGAGTTTAATTATTGGTTGAAACAAACTCTTAAAAATGGGTAAATGAACCAGTATTGCATTTTGTCCCACTAAATGTACTTTCAGGAAAAGAAAGTAAACAAAGCAGGAAACTGTTACATCACCACAGTTTCAGCGCCAAGAGGACATTTTCCATAAATATATCACAGAAAAATAAAGTAAGTAAAGGTTAATTACCTTCTGCGCTCAGGAAGCATATGGTGACCACTAACAGGAGTAGTAGCACTTTGCACCGATGCATGACTTAGGACTGATGTTTTTAAAGAAAAGTTCCACAAACTGGATTCCTTAGCGGTGTGGGGAAAAAATGCGCACTGAAAAAAAGTACCAGTGGCTACAGATGAAGTCCACTAGCAGTGGATGGAGAACCGGCGAACTGATAGAGAGTTCTGAGGGAAGGTTTTCTGTCTGTTTGGGGTTACTTTGAACTCCGTCTGTGCGTCTTGCGCGCTTGGATGCGTCTCCAACTCTCCTGTCGCTCAGTCTGGAAGGCTGATCCAGTCTTTAAAAGCTCCACGCTGCCTCTGCTCATTAATATGCACGGCCAGGCAGCGAATCAAACACTTGTGGTCTGGGAGGGAGAGGTTGTTTAAGCTGCGCAGAGCCAGGCTCAGATCATGAATGCTCTCTGCTGGGTGAAAAATAACCTAAAACCTCCGCATCAGTTGTTAAATTCATGCTTTAACAACCTGGAGCTTTGGTGGTTTCTTCAGTAACAGAAAACATACAGCTCCAGGGGTAAATAAATAAAATTTATGCTCTGCTCCTTTAGGCATGATCAAAGGCACCAGCCAAAGGTTTATGTATTAATAACTATGTTTAATAATTGAACTGATTTAAAAACAGTATCATAAAGCTTAAAAAAAAAAAATCAAAGCAGATCATTTTTTGAAATTATGCAATAGCAAATCCTGCCTTATGGATTATTATGAAACTTGGGAGCATCTTTGAAAGGACTCATCCAGGAAGCATATCCAATAAAGAGCATGTATTTTTCTTGCATGTAGATTCTGATTATTTTGTTCTTGTTGTAGGGGTACTGATGCTCACATCCAAAAAGTGCAACAACTGTGAATATGCAGAACTCTCAGGAGCCATGTAATACAGTGGTACCATATCTGCATTTTCATGCAGATATGTTAAGATGATGAATTTGAAGTCACATTTCTCAGTTTTTTCTTTTCAGTTTCACATTGGTAAATCAAGATACCTGTGGAATTATATTTTTCCTTGGCCTATTTTGTGAGATTAAATATCTCCCTCTCCATTCAAAGGACGTTAAATAAATTTGAATATTATGTCTTGCAAGAAATGCTTCCGACTCAGTTTCCTAACATCACAAACCAAATTCACTTTAGACTGAATTTTATTTAATTGATTTATGCTTGTTTTATTTTTTATTTTTAACAATAGGGTTGATGTGAGGCTCATTAAAAGATTCTCTGTCAAACATTCATCAAGAATATTGTTGCATTTTGTTCAGTTCTGTAAGTCTAATATATACCACTGGTAATATAATGTTTTTCTTCCATATTCTTTACAAGATATGGCCGGAATATGTCTGTTTGTTAAACAAAAAATTCATTAATGCTCCAGATTTTTAATACGATAGGCTTCTTCAAAAATCTTAGTGTTGCATTCATTTTGTCTTCACATTAACTGTGTTCACCACAGTCATATAGAATTATTTGAATTAATTGATGTTTTAAGGCCAAATTATATTACTTTTATAATTTGGGATATGTTACTTTTGAGTTGCGTGGCCTTAAACAAAACAAAACCTACAAGTAGTTCTTTATGATTAAAAATTTGCAGACATTATTTTATAATTTGTGTTATTTCAGTTACATAGTTGCTGGTTTTGTGTTGTTTTCCTGCATCAGATATAGATGCAGTCATTGCTTATGTTGGTGCCAAAAAGTTGAAAATGTCTGTAAAAGATAGCCCTGGGAAGGAGCTCTGATCCTCCCACTTGGGATCCCCCTAATCACAGGATTAGGCTACAATCATCAAAACTCTACATCAGCAGCGATTTTTCTCTGTGTGTGTGTATGCTCTTGTTTTCAATACATTGTGGGGCCCATTTTCAGGGAAAATGACATGTTGTGGGGACCAACTGGTCCTTGTGACATTCGATGCCTGGACCCCACCTCGGGAATAGCTGTTTTAGGGTAATGGGTCCGGTTTAAGACAAGGCGATTTAGTTTAGGTTGGAGATAGGGTTAGGTATGAAGCCTTAATGGTTAGGGTTAGGGTAAGGGTCACGGTTAGGCTGTAGAAATTAATGGAAGTCAATGAAAATGTCCCGTAAAGATAGTGAGACAAGTCCCTGTGAGTGTGTGACTATATGTGCGTGTTTGTGTTTGCTCACCTTATGGCCCAGAATATCAGTCCAATCAGCTCCAGTAATCACTTAAACCAGCACCCATGACATACCTCTCTGCACCTGTATTAACTTGTTTTTATGCAATATGACAAATGTTTGTGCAGCCCAGTTTTTCTGTCCTCTGCCCCTCAACATGAGTAATGGATGCAAGCATTACTTACCTTGATGGACATATATATAATAATGTGATCCCTGTAGGCAGAGATGGCAAAAGTACTCACTTTCCGTACTTGAGTAAAAGTACAGATACTTGTGTTAAAACATACTCTGGTAAAAGTGGAAGTACTGATTAAACTTCTTTACTCAAGTAAAAGTAACAAAGTACAGGCTTGTAAATTTATTTAAAGTATAAAAGTAAAAGTAGAAACCACTTTTTTCATGCCGTTGCCTACATTTTAAATGGATGTCTGCCAATAGGACTAGATCTCCGTTGTGTTCATTTTCAATCATCTCGTCGTCCATACTACTACGCTAACACCACCGCCACCAAGCTGCAATGATTTGCCGCCAATGAATACCGCCGAATCTGTCGATTCATCTTGTAGTGGTGCGTCAAATGCAACGTAGATTCCCATCCAATTAGATTGAATTTGGTTTTGATGACGTGAAAAATAATAACGGTAACTCCATTGAAATGATTCAAAACTAAAGTAACGAGCCAATTTTTTAAAATGTAAGGAGTAGAAAGTACAGATATTTGTGTAAAAATGTAAGGAGTAGAAGTAAAAAGTCGCCATAAAAATAAGTAGTAAAGTAAAGTAAAAATATCAGAAAAATCTACTTGAGTACAGTAACGAAGTATTTGTACTTCGTTACTTCCCATCTCTGCCTGTAGGACACCTGTGCAGAACAAGGTTCATGTCATGCTTTTTGATCTCGGGGAAATTGACTACAATCAGTCGCCTGCTATAATCTCAAGCTGAAGTGACAGAATTCAGTTAGACGTTTGTTGTCTCTATCCATTAGATCAGTTTCCTTCCACTAAAAACAATAAAAACTGGAGAGAGAGATGCAACATGTTTCAATTGAAATAAAGCTGCAATGAAAAGCTGATGCATTTAACATCTGTTGTCAGGTGAATGTTGTGGAAATGTCCTAATAAGTGTCTATTGTGACTTTTAATCACAACACTATCAAGATCACTAAATATATCTGTATGTGAAAACTGTGCCATATATATAAGCAGCTTAAAAAACGGCAAACAGTCATTAAGAGTAGTAAGACAAGCAGAATCAAAATGTATTATTTATACACTCCACATACACACAGACACTTAACCCATTAAACACACATTTTATACAACTCAAACATTGTTACTAAGTGTAATTAGCAAAGAGAGGGATATATCAAAAGCAGTTGACTGATTCATTTAAAAAATCCTTAACACAGTATTACATCTTTCTTCTTTTTCGAACATAATTAAGTATCACATCTGATGACATAAATCACCCGGCATCAGGGGCGCAGATAGGTTTTTGAAACTGTGGGGGACAGTTACTATAGGGTTTGGTCATCGTGACGTAAGCACTTCGCGTCGCCGCCATGTTGAATGCGTCTTTTACCGCAGCTCAGACTACTGCCTATGACTACCGCGTACTGTACTCCCTCTCAGCCGTGTTTTAATTTTATTAATTTCACCTTAACTTGATTTCAACCATGGTAAACCGTTGCTGTATTGTGGGCTGTAACAGCTCAACACATGATCGCCATGGAAACATAGAAAATGGGTTAACTTTCCACCGCTTTCCTGACTGGAGGCGTAACCATGGAGACCAAGCGTCAGAGATAAAGAGTCGTCGGCTAGCTTGGATCGCGGCTGTAAGACGAGCGAACATAACTTTCCACAGTATTCCAATGTCATTGAGAGTGTGTTCCCTGCATTTTCATTCTGGTAAGTTAAAGATGCACAGTTTTATTTTATAGCCTACATTGTGAGGGCTACAGGGCGACAGTGGCGTTGGATGGAGGAGTTTGCCCTGTAATCGAAGGGTTGACGGTTCAAGCCCCGACTCCGACTTTCATTGTCGTTGTGTCCTTGGGCAAGACACTTCACCTGCATTGTCTACTGATGGTGGTCAGAGGGCCCGGTGGCGCCAGTGTACGGCAGCCTCGCTTCTGTCAGTGAGCCCCAGGGCAGCTGTGGCTACAATGTAGCTTGCCACCATCAGTGTGTGAGTGTGTGTGTGAATGGGTGAATGAATGTAGTGTAAAGCGCTTTGGTCAAGTCTCCTAACTTGAATAAAGGCGCTATATAAGTACATGCCATTTACCATTTACCATTGTTTCTTTCCTTCAAAGTTGGGATCTTTTACGGGAAAATAATAAAAACGGCAGCGGGAAAATGCTCAAATATGCGAGAAACCCGGAGGGTTGGCAGTTAACGTTACTAACTACACCTTTGAAACACATAGCAGCTAGTTAAAAGTACATTACATGCGTGAGTGGTTGTTAGCATTAGCGGTTAGCAGTTGCTAAACTAGCAGGTTCCAGAGCCCCTCTGATCACAGCTTACCTTCGTACGAATTACTGTGTTCCCACTGTTTGCTGGCTTTATGATCTGCAGCTCCTGAACCCATCCATTCATGAACTGCACATGAGACTCCAAGGACTTGTAGCTTCGGAACTGTTTTGAAGTATAGGCGCTCACTCATTGGTGCTCCACTCATTGTTTGGAACTTTATATGGATCCAAATGATTAACAATGCTGATTTTGTCACCATACCGGTCCCTGGCTTCTCTATTTAATGTGTCCCGGTAAATTCCAGATCCTTTTAGGGATTTTAACATATTTTTTCTCTCTACTTCTGTCTCTTCTTTCAACAACAACGTTGTGTCAGAGCTATGCTTACGTTTGCGTAGCAGTCAGTTTGGCTGCGACGTCCCACAATGCAACGTGGATCCCGAGCCCTATTACTGGCTATTACTCAGCTATGACAACCCATCAATCTTAATTGCCCATCATTGCAAGAAAATAACATGTATTGGTACCAAGTACTCACCAAACATGCCACATGACGTGTGAAAAAAAAAAGGTTTTATTTAAACATGGACTGACTTTAAGTGCAGGCTGTAAACACACAGAAACACGAACAGCAATGCCTACATATATACAAAAACAAATTTGTAAATAAGTACTTTACATGGCTTTTCAATAAATGGCCTCAAATGAAGAAAGTTGTGTGTC